GTTGTGACTCGGTTTTGTAACATACCTACAAAGTGAACTTTAACCAATTCTTGTACTATTCTACTGTCTGCACCAGAGTAGGAACAACCGTACATATTCACATTAGAACCTTCGCCTCCTCTCTCCAGCTCTTGTGCCACTGCAAACAGAGTCCTAAATCTCTTCACATCGAGATAAGAAAGTTCAGAAACTAAACACATATTGTTGGTGCAAAGATAGAATAAATGATGAAATAGGGAAATATTCTATTAAAGAGAATGACGGCTACAAAACATGATACTTGGTTACAATGATTGTCACCCTATTTATAAGCTAAAACTAGGGTTACTAGAATAAGATAAATACTAAAATACCCTCTAACAAACTTATGGGCTTAAGAAAGTAATATAATAAAATATGAATTATTACTAATATCATCCCTTAATTCATATTCCATCAAAACTTGTAACACCAATTCCATCCCTTAATCTGAGAAATTGATCAGTCTTGATAGCTTTCGTCAGAACATCTGCCAACTGCTTCTGAGTGCTGTAGTGTACAACTTCTAACACTCCACTCTGAACTTGATGTCTCAGAAAATGATACTTGGTCTCAATATGCTTGCTTCTCCCATGCAACACTGGGTTTCTGGCAAGGTTGATTGCAGACTTGTTGTCAATCATCAACTTCAGAGGTTTACTTACTTTAATCTTCAGATCCTGCAACAGATTCAGAATCCACACAGCTTGGCATGCAGTAACAGCACCTGCAATGTATTCAGCTTCACAGGTTGATAACGCCACAACAGGTTGCTTCTTGGAACACCAAGAAATAGGACCTCCCAGAAATTTGAACAAGTACCCAAAGGTACTTCTTCTGTCAACTCTGTCTCCACACCAATCAGAGTCTGAATAACTCAGAAGTTCTGACTCATTATTTCCTCCAGAGGAAAATAACACTCCATACTTCAGAGTTCCTTTGATATACCTCAGAATCCTGACAGCAGCTTGATAATGGGACCACTTAGGTTTACTCATGAACCTACTAACCATCCCAAAAGAGTAGCAAATATCAGGTCTGGTATTGCACAGATACCTCAGAGAACCAACCAACTGTTTGAAGGTTGTAGCGTCCACATCCTTTCCTTCAGAGTCTGAATCCAGTTTCTGATTTGTATCAGAAGGTGTGACAGCCATCTTACAATTCTTCAGATCAAATCTCTTCAGAAGTTCTAATTCATACTTGAGCTGATGCAAAATGATACCTTTCTCAGAATATCTGAACTCCATCCCTAGAAAGTATGTCATTTTGCCTAGATCAGTCATTTCAAATTCATTCATTAGAACCTTCTTGAACTTGGCTATCTCCTGTTCAGAACTTCCAGTCAGCAGTATATCATCAACATATAAACATACCAGAGTCATATTTCCTTCAGAAGTATGTTGAACATAGACACCGTACTCCATCTCACATTTCTGAAAGCCTTGCTTCTTGAAAAATGAATCAATCTTCTGATTCCAAGCTCTGGGCGCTTGTTTCAATCCATATAGAGCTTTGTATAATCTGTACACCATCCCTTCCTGATTCTTTTTCACAAATCCAGGAGGTTGTGACACGTAAACTTCTTCTTCTAATGGACCATTCAGAAATGCAGATTTTACATCTAAATGCATCAGAGGCCAATTCCTGTTAGCAGCTATTGCAATTACCATTCTGATTGTTTCATGTCTTGCTACAGGTGCAAACACTTCAGAGTAATCCAGCCCAGGTTTTTGTAGAAATCCTCTGGCTACCAACCTTGCTTTATGTTTGCCAATTGAACCATCTGGCTTTAACTTCTGCTTGAAAACCCATCTGACGCTGATGGCTTTCTTGTCTTTTGGAAGTTCTGTCAGCTTCCAAGTCTTGTTTCTCTCTATAGCATCAAGTTCTTCTTTCATGGCCTTCAGCCAAAGATTCTGCTTAAGAGCCTCTTCTGTACTTATGGGTTCAGAATCTACCATCATGGCACACTGAATAATTTCTCCTTCAGAGTCTACTTCAGTGTCTTGCAGCATGTCAAATTCTGCATATCTTCTGGGAACGTTTCTTATTCTTTGTGGTCTTTGAACTTGTTCAGAGTCTTGAGCTTCAGAGTTTCTAGCTTCAGATGATTGACCTCCAGAGCTTTGACCATCTTCAGAGTCTGGCATATTTCCAGAGTCTGAATTGCCACCAAGATCTGGATTGCCATCAGAGTCTGAATCATCAGAGTCTGGGTCATCTGGGTCACCTTCATCTTCTGAGTCTTCTTCAGAGTTTGAATCAGTATCAGAGTCAGAGTCAATATCAGGGTTTACTTCAACTTCATAAATTCTTAACTCTGGCCTTTCTTCAGAGGTTCTAACATCAGAATCAGATTGAGACTTATCCCAATTCCAAACTTCTGATTCCTTCACAATCACATCTCTGCTGAATTCAATTTTATTGGTTTCTGGACAATAGAGCTTGTAAGCACCAGTACTGTGGTACCCTATCAGAATCATCACTTTGCTTTTATCATCCAACTTCTGTCTTCTGGCTTCTGGAACATGTTTATAGCAAACAGAACCAAACACCTTTAGATGACTAACACTTTGCTTATCTCCAGTCCACTTCTGTATTGGAACTATTTCCTTCAACTTCTTCGTAGGACATCTGTTGAGTACATATGTTGCAGTGGCAACAGCTTCTCCCCAGAGCTTCTGAGGAAGCTTCTTCTCCTTTAGCATGCTTCTCACCATATCAAGCAGAGTGCGGTTTCTTCTTTCAGCAAGACCATTGTGTTGAGGGGTATAGGGAGCAGTAACCTCATGCTCAATTCCATTCTCCTCACAGAACTTCTGGAACTCTTTGGAGTTATACTCACCTCCACCATCAGTTCTAAGAATCTTCAACTTCTGACCACTCTGATTCTCAGCCTTCATTCTGAACTTCTTGAATTCATCAAACACCTCGTGTTTGAACTTAATAAGGGATACCCATGTCATTCTTGTGAATTCATCAACAAACAGCACAAAGTATTTATTCCCTCCAATTGATGCTACTGGAAATGGACCACACACATCAGAGTGTACAACTCCCAAGGCATGTTTTGCTCTTGGAGCAACTTCTGATGCAAATGGCAATCTTGGTTGTTTTCCTTCCATGCAAACTTTGCATGACTTTTCAGGCTTCTTAATTTCAGGAACTCCATGTACCAATTTCTTTGAATTCAAATGTTGTAAGCTTCTGAAATTCAAATGACCAAATCTTCTGTGCCACAGCTCACTCTCCTTCTCAGTACTTGTTGCACTAAGACACTCTGAGTCTGCAGTTCTGACATTCACCTTGAATGTTCTATTCCTTCCCTGTTCTGACTCCATAATCAACTTCTGATTACAGTCATACAGCTTTAGAAGATTGTCCTTCATGGTAACTGAGAAACCTTTCTCAATTAATTGTCCCACACTCATCAGATTGCTTCTGATGCCAGGTACATACCACACATTCTGAATCAATGCTATTTTCCCATTGTTCAGAGTCACTCTGACATTTCCCATACCTTCTGCATTAAGATATTTGTCATCAGCACATCTGATCTTTGTTCTCTTTTCAGAGTCAAAGTCAACCAGCCATTTCTTGTTTCCAGTAAGATGATTTGAACAACCAGTGTCCATATACCACCAGTCTGTCAGATCCACATTATCAGATTCAGAGGCCATCAACAGCACATATTCGTCATCAGAGCCTCTGGTTATATTTGCTTCTTCTGATTTCTTCTCCTTGTTTGACCAACAATCTCTAGCAAAATGGTCAAACTTCTTACAACAGTAACATTGTATTTTTCTTTTGTCATACTTCTCTTTTCCCCTCTGAGCATTCTTTTGTCTATCAGAGGTTGAGCTTTCTGACTTCTGACCACCATCAGATCTTCTCCTGGCTTCTGACTGCTTCTGATACCTCCTATCAGAAGTTGCTTTCAGAGCCTGCTGTTCTACTTCCTTTTTAGAGTTTCTCTCAGTCAGACGCAACTCTTGCGCTTCTAGACTGCTCTGCAGCTCTTCAATTCTCATTGTGCTCAGATCTTTGGAATGTTCTATTGCTACCACAATGTAATCAAATTGAGGAGTAAGGGATCTCAACACTTTCTCCATGATTGTTTCTTCAGAAAGAGTTTCTCCACATGCCTTCATCTCATTAGTGATCAGAATCACTCTGGAGATGTATTCAGAAACTTTCTCATTATTCTTCATGTTGAGATTCTCATATTGCTTTCTCAAGGACTGAAGCTTCACCTTCTTCACTGATGCGTCACCACCATAACATCTCACCAGAGTGTCCCATGCAGCCTTTGCTGTTGTAGAGTCTGCAATCTTCTCAAACACGTTTACATCCACACATTGATGAATGAAGAACAATGTTTTCTGATCCTTCTTCCTTACTTCCTTCTTCGCGTTTTTCTGTTCATCAGTCGCATCTGCTGCTACCGGAACATAACCATCAGTGACAAGATCCAGAACATCTTGAGCACCAAACAATACATGCATTTGGATCATCCAACGATTCCAATTTTTACCGTCAAATACTGGAAGTTTGGTGTTCATGTTGCCGTTTCCGTTCATCTTCTACTTTGCACAATACACTCAGAGTTTTCTCACACAGTGTTTCCCAACCTACAGAATTAAAAAATTCTGATTAGATTTTGTTCAAGATTCAACAAGAATCTGAGAAACAAAATCAAACACACAAGACCTCACGTTCACTCGTGTTTCCCGTGTTTCCCAATGAATCTGAACCGGAGCTCTAGATACCAATTTGTTGGTGCAAAGATAGAATAAATGATGAAATAGGGAAATATTCTATTAAAGAGAATGACGGCTACAAAACATGATACTTGGTTACAATGATTGTCACCCTATTTATAAGTTAAAACTAGGATTACTAGAATAAGATAAATACTAAAATACCCTCTAACAAACTTATGGGCTTAAGAAAGTAATATAATAAAATATGAATTATTACTAATACATATGACTAAAAAACTGAGGATAAGTGTGAGATAGAACAACACTGCAGGTCTCTTTGAAATTATCAAGCTCGCCTCTAACCACTGAATAGAACAGAACAGGAGATTCAGTCTCGACTAACATCTCCATTATAACAGTCAAAACATTCATATCGCCTGACCAGGATAAAATGACGCTCAAATGTTGACACAAACTACAAATTTGTGAATCAGAATGATTGAAATTGTTCATGAGGAATGTAATAACAGAATTGCGAAGATCGTGAGTACTAAGCATTCTTCTAATTGCTCTTTCTTTGTCCACATGAAATGGTATATAATGACAGTTACTTGGAAAGCGTCCAATCTTTGACCGTAATTCATCAATCCAGTCCCTATTACTGAATTTAGAAGGATATGATGTCTTGATCTTGAAAAGAGTAAGGACACAATAACTGAAAATAAAAAGGATGGAAGACCAATCCAATCGAGTAACCTCAGAATCGACAATTTTGTTTGCACATGCCTGGGATGGTAAACTTACGAAACAAGGCCGGATGCCTATTTCATTTAGGGCTGCTTCGACAGAGTTTCTGAAATCAGGAACCACGGAACACAACATTGATCCCACATAAGCAATGAACTTGTTTACATGGTTAGGAATAATGCACTTTGTGGCAGCTTCATATGCAACACGGAATGCCATGCCAGTGGGGTCGCCTGTTACATCAGGGATATAAAAATTGCAATCAGTCATGATTCCCATCATATTGATTTTACACTGCAAGTTTGGCTGACTGGCTGTTGGAAGCTTTGCAATTCCGGGACGGTTACCTCCCCAAGTACTACCAGCTGAGGGGACAATGCTTTGAATCATTGCATTTGATGATTCGTCTTGGTATCTGCCTGACTTTCTCATTTTTTATCTAATAAAAGTGGAAGTCGAAAGTTGATGAGTTTAGCTTTTGATACTGTGTGTATATATATATAATCATCTACAGGTGTGGTTTTTGTGCTTTCTATTTAATGGAGGGCATTGGAAAGTGGATAGATTAATGAGTCCATCAAGCATTCGGAACGAATACAAAAGGTCTTAGTTAACAACACTTAATGTAATTACTGTGCATGTTGATGTAAAAAATAAATCTTACGAGTATATAAAAAATATAAAAAAGTTAAATGTGTTTTATGTTGTTTTGCATACTTTCATTTCATATATTAGGTAATTTGTTTGGGTATAATATTAAAGGACGTAAAATACATCTAATCACTATGCTAAAATTGTCTTTTAGCAGCGCATATAAAGACAGGGTTTTTTGAAAAAGTGTTACTAAAGAGTCATTAAAAAAAAATAGCGCACCTAAGACAGCGCTTATTGAAAAGCGCTGCTAAAGGGTGGTCCTAAGAAAGCGCTTTTGTAAAGCGCTGCTAAAAGGTGATCCTAAGAAAGCGCTTTTTTAAAGCGCTGCTAAAGGGTGGCCCTAAGAAAGCGCTTTTTTAAAGCGCTGCTGTAGATGTCACATACGAGAGCGCTTTCTCTATAAGCACTACTATATGGGGTATATAAAAAAGCGCTGCTATATGCATGCCTAAGGCACACCGTAGAGAGTGGTTTTTAAAAGCGCTGCTATAGGCATTATTAGAATTAATTTAAAATATCCACCAGAATTTTTAAAACAAACAGAACGACATCTGTTTGTATTTCTTTCATTCTTTCTCCTCTGGCGACCTAAACCACGAGCGTCCCCTCCTCCGTTAACCTAAAACACGACCGCCGCCCTCCTCCGTCCGACAGCTGCTGACCGTTGCCCTCCTCCGTCATTTCGTCTGCAGAACTACAAGGTAATCTCATTATTTTGTTTTGTAATGTTATGTCTTTGTCATTCCTCTGTTGCAACTGATATGAATATGAGAAAAAAATTGTTCTCTTCATTATTTTGTTTTGTAATGGTTGTCTTTGCCATTCCTCTGCTGCAACTGATATGAATATGAGAAAAAAATTGTTCTCTTTTTCTCTCACTTAAATGCATTCTAAGTGTTTGATAAAATACCTCTTAGAGATTTTTTTTGTTCAATATTATGATAAAGTGTTTGATGTTTTGTTCAATACTATTACTCTTCATTTTCAGTTCTGCATTCAGTTTTGTATTATGTTATTAATTAGTTTTGATATTATGCTAAAATGTCATTTTGAAAATTGGTGTTGTAGTGTTGATATTATGGAACACTAAACATATCTCTCTACTTCTGGTATGTGTCTTACATGAAAGGAAAGCAACTTAGAGAAGCAAACAGTTACCTGTGCAAACTCTAATTACATCATATACATGCATCACTGCACAATTAAAGTTCCATTAAAAATATAATTCTAAATTATTTCATTATGAGAGCTTGGACATTTTAGATAAGATAGATGAATTTATGCATCTAGATACAGGTATGAATGAAAGCTTCTGATAGGTAACCTCTGCTTGAAATTGCAGTTATCCTTGAATATGCATATGTTTTTTTCTTACAAAACAGACAGATCCTAAATTATAGGTGAAAAAATTGTCACCAATAACTTTGTCATAAATCTAGTAAGAATTCAACCAAAACTTAAATAATATATATGTTTAGAAGACATTCCTTCAAATCACATTAAGAAAATAATATTTCAATGTCAAATTACATCCTGAGCTTCTTTTTAAGAGTGTAGCCAACATGAATATAAATATAAGTAAACTATATACCTATCAAAATGGTTAGATCATATGAGTAGTCCGTTTTATGGTATTTTATTTTGTTCCTCATTTTATAGTTTCTTAGTTGTTCCACCTTTTTCTTTTAATATTATAAGGCTTTATTAAAAGAAATTATCAACTATACAAGAAGTTGTTACATTATTGCAAGTTTTATCAACAATTGATGTTCCAAGAATTATTTAATGTTGATGATGTTATTAATTTTGTTTGTTATAGGGGTTACCTGTGAAGAGCAAGGTTGTGATTGTTTCCAAGCATCCTACTGTGTAGCTTTCTTAGAAGTTAGTGATTTCTTTATAGGTATTCTTTGTTTTTGTTTAACTTTCTTAGTTTAGTTTAGACTACTCAATTAGTATGGATAAAAAATGGATGTCTTTTAATCGGTTGTCAAAAGAGTACGAGAATGGGGTATCGAAATTCGTTAAGTTTGTTGTTGAACACGCCAAAGACCCCAGTAGGATCACATGTCCTTGCTTAGGTTGTTGTTATGGGCTTCGAATTGACGTCGTTCAGTTGGAATCTCATTTAATGAGACATGGAATTGATCGAAGTTATACATGCTGGACATTACATGGTGAGATAAGTAACGAGAATGTCGAACCCGGGAATAATGCGACCTATGCTTCAAAGGACAATGGCAGGGATACATATGATTGTGATCGAGTCGAAGAGATTGCAGAAGCACTTGAAGCAGATCTTTAAGATTATCCCAAGATGTTTGAGAGGTTGGTAAGCGATGCAGAGAAACCGTTGTATAAAGGTTGCACTACTTTCACAAGATTGTCTGCGGTATTAAAGTTGTACAACTTAAAGGCGGGTAATGGATGGTCGGATAAAAGTTTCACAGAGTTGTTAGCCCTACTTCAAGAGATGCTTCTAGAGGACAATGTTCTTCCCAATCGAAGGATACTGTCGCTACTGCGAAAATAAGGTGCTGGCAAAACAGAAGAGTCGCCACCTTTCGTTATTTATCCCACAGAAAGGGAAAGGAAACGATCGGAAAAACCTGACGAAAAGGTATAAGACAAGGTCATCGCAACCATGTTTGGGTTCGGGAGTCGATTACGCAAGTGGAAGGTATTAGCACCCCTCACATCCGTTGTACTCAACGGGATCCATGCTTGTTGTGTTTATCTGACGGGTTGGCTTAACTATCTACCTAAAAAAGCTGGTCTGAAAAGAAAAGAAAATGACTCGGCAGAACACAGTAGTTTTATGCCTACGCATTCCCGTCTGGAACGAGAAATCAAAGTCAACGTAGTTCGCCTAACTACGGGTGAAAGGCGGGGGAGGTTGCTCGCCGAGATATCGTATCTCGTACCTACGTACTTTCACACAGCATGAAAGATCAGAGAAAATGTAGTTCGGGCTAACAAGACCACAGGTTTGGTTCAAAAGTTTTACCCGAGTAGGGTTAACAGACGGTTCTCGCAGTTGGTGTATGCAGCTCGACCTTTGGAGACTTAGGCGTTTACCGTTTGCGGTAGAACCGAGAGTTAACAAAACTCTCCTTATGAAAATGGTTTCCAAGTATTAAAGTCCCCAAGGGACAAAAAGAAGTTTGATCTTTGTTTTTGAAATCTTTTACGGAAGAAGTATCTTTTATGGATGTCTGCAACTAATATCGCACTAGAGACTATGACCTAGGAGTGAATGTGTCGCATGTCACCCAAAGGGTACCATACTAAACATCCTGATTATTGGAAGGAAACCCCCCAATAACCATTTCCTAAGTAACTTAAGGCTCGTAACGTACGATATCAATTAACCTTTATTATTGTATTAAAGATGTTTGAAGATGAAAAGAGAACGGACACAACTAAGGGTGTTGCACCCTAAAATTTTCTCAACCTTATTCACTTGGTTTAGGTTTCAATATCATTAGCATTTGCATATAGAGTCATGTACATAGCCTAACCATCTGCATAGCATAAGCATGGCAAGTCATTCAACAGGGGACCAATCATTATTCTCATCTCTAGAGGCCTATCAAGAGGTTATTATCCTGATTCAATTTCATTCAAGTCATCAGAAAAGAATTTGAAAGCTATCAAGTCAATGGATCAAGCAAGTGCATCCATCTCCTATCTGAGGGTCTCTGAGGATCAACAAGTAAGTTGTGAGCTGTGGGCTGAGCATGGGGAGTATCTAGACATCTTGGAGGACTTAGAAAGTCATTTGGAGAAGGAGACAAGTCATTGGTATGGTCACAAGAATTGCAGTTGAAGACAGTCAACTAGGGTTTCATCTGGGGTCAACTCTAGGTCAACTCTAGGTCAATTGATTGATTGAAAGGCATTAAGGTCTATTGAAGAGATGTGGGGTTTATCATTTGACATGAATAATAAGGATATGTTGTTATGCTAAGAAGAAATCAAGACAAATCAAGGAGAAGAGGAGTTTCTAAATTAGGGTTTCTATGTAAAATCCCCTAGTTTAGGTCAAATTTACAAGCAAGATAAGTCAAAATGCAAGATTCAAATGGATCCTTGGTCAACATGAAACTTGTAGAGGATCCCAATACCTTTAATTTGAGTTGTGGAAGACATCAAGGAGATTTATAGAACTCAAGTTATGGTCCTTGCAAGTTACAGGTCATCTGAGGTATCTGAAATTTTGTCTGTGAAAGTGACTTGACTTCTAAGCTATTTTTACCCCTCAAGGAGATCTCAAATGAATTTCTGGTCAACATAAGAGTTGTTCCTCATTGTCTTAGATTTCTATAATGGTATAGTATTCCTTCATATGATTTGTGGAACTCTACTTATGGTCTTGACAAGCAAAGGGTATTTTGGTCATCTGAAAATTACAGGTCATTTCAAGCCTATGCCCAAAACTCATACAAGGAAGCTTCAAATGGAAAACTTTACAACATAAAACTTGTTCCAAATGACATTTTGAGTCTAGAAAAGTGACCATGAGAGATTGTAAAGATTCATAGCACAAGGTTTCAAAATTGTTGGATTTAATGAATAAAAATGGACTTAAAAATGAGATTTTTCATATTTTGGCCAAATGGGGCAAAGTTATAGGTCATTTTGAATGGAAAAATCATTTTGAGAACATTGGCTAAAGTGGAATTTTGAGGTTAGTTCAAATTTTAATAGTTATTCATGGTTACTTGTAATGGAAGATACATAAACCAAATCCAAGGGAAATCACACATGGGAAGTTT